GGCAGCAGCCCTTGGCATCATTCACGTGGCTTTGGTTGTAGGCGCATGCACAATGCAGGCGTTCTGAGGTCCAGAAGGCTTCCACCCAGATTTCAGAAGAAGGCCTGGGAGGCCAGGCAGTGTGCCCCTGAGAGGGCAGTGTGTGAAGCTGTGAGTGAGAAGCCTACTCAGTGGAAACCTCAGAAGTTTGAAAAAGCCAGGAATGTGGATGGTTTAAGAAAAGCTGCTAAAAGGGAGTAAAGCAGGCCTGAGAGAAAAGCCAGAGGAGCTACCCGCAGAAGTGCTATGGGGTGGAGCCACATAAGGCTTTTGGAGCTGACTACTCATTACAGGGTGCTTTGAATGGTCCACAGGGAAGTACAGGACTTAATATTTGCCCTTCTGGACTTTGGCCTTGTTTTGGACCCAATTGTTTGTATCCAGCTGTGTATACCTTTTGGAATGGCAATGTTTATCTTGTGCCTGAGAATGTTGGAAGAGTTTAACTTTTCATTTGTAGAGGGGCTCACAGCTAAGAGTTTACCTTAGATCTCGGAGGCTTGGGACTTGGACTTTTCAGTGTTGCTGAAACTGGTAGGACTTTGGCAACTCTTAGAGATGGACTAAAATGTCTTTTGCATAAATGGTTGTGCATGAGTTTTTGGAGGGCCAGGGGTAACATGTCATGGTTCTAATGTAATGCAATGTTCACTTTGTAAAATGTTTAAGCATGTCTGTGTACCTGGACATTGGCTTAAAAAAGTGTATGTCTAGTTACCAAGTTGACAAGGGGTGGATTGTGTTAGTTGATACATTGTGTCAACTTGGCTGAATCAGCTCGGGCAGCAGCGTGGGGGCTTCGCCCTGCAGGTGGGCAGGGCCCAGGAATTGAGAAAGGCTTCCTGCCACCCTGCCCTGCCCTGCCCTGCCCGACTCTCTGCCGCCGCGCCCTGCTTTCGTGGAGAAGTCTCCGTCTTCAGAGGAGCTTGATCTTGGCAGCCACATCACTTTGGAGGAGCTCTGATCTTCACCGTGGAGCGCTGGTCTTGGCAGTCAGCGCTTAAGGAAGAGAAAGGCTTGATAGACGCCGCTGCAGCTGCTGCTCCTCCTCTGCTCTTCATTGTTTTCTGTCGCATGAACTGCTGTTGTTTGCCTTGGAGCCAGCGGAATATGGACTGAACCCTCCAGTAACTGTGAGCTAAATAAACCTTTCCTTCCTTCATTTTGAGTGTCGGGTATTTGTCCCAGCAACGAGTAAAAAGTAACTAAGACAGAAGGCAAGTGCATACATCTGTCATTCACATTTGGTTCATTGTTTTTTGTTTTTATATATAGTTACTTAGAAGAGTATTTTTCTCACAGTTAAGACTCACAAAGTCAACCATCCATACAGTGTATACAGTATTTATTAAGCAACAACTATCTTGATGGCAGGGATAGTAGAGGGAAGGAAACAGACTGTCTTGGGAAGCTTGAATTCTACTATTGCCAAGATAATTGTACTTTCTGTCCCCAGCCAGCAGAATCAGTTGTCATAAAACATATCTGTAAGATGCCCAGAGGCAGAACCCAAAGGACTATAGTTTTACAATATGTTCTATTGATTACTTATTGTATCACTTTAGACAGTTGCTTAAACATTTTGGACTTTGTTTCTTCATTAAGAAAACAGCAACCTAATATGAGTTAACTGTATAGCTTGTTTGTGCCAAAGTGTGTGTGTGTGTGTGTGTGTGTGTGTGTGTGTGCGCGCGCGTGCATGCACGTGCATACACGCATGCATGAAGGAGTTGTGAATGTACTGCTCAGATCACTGCCTGGCAATAATGACCACCACATAAGTGTCAAGTATTGTTCTTGTTAAAAAAAATTGATCTAAATTGAATTCATGGATACATGCTTTACTTATTTTAGAGGAAAACATTGATGCTATAGAAAAAAAAAAAAAAAAACGTTGGAGGTACATACTGTGAGTCATTTCTTGATCTTTGTATTACTTATTCAAAGAACATTGTAGAAGACAAGGAAAGTACAACTCAGTGGTTTCCCTGTTCTTTATATCTCTGTCTCCAGGATGTACATCTGTAAAAGCATGATAAAACAATTTTCTTTTATTTTCAAAGCAGCTTTATGATGATTAAGGAAATGATGTGTGCAGCGTTTGATACCAGCCCTGACTGAGAGTAACCATTTGTTAAATGGTGACTGCCACTCTTGTAACCTAATTACACTGACTCAACATCAGTTCGGTGGAATATTTAAAGAATTAAATTTGGAAATAGTTTAGCTTTGGGTTTTACCTAGCTGTTTTTCAGCTTTTTCGTATGTTGGATTTTTTTAGTCTACAGAGTCTACAGCGTCTACAGGGTCTCACTGTGTAGATCGGACTCATAGTATTCCTCCTGCTTACAATCTTCCAAGTGCTGAGATTACAGGGCTGCATCACCATACCCAGTCACAATCGCCATCTCAGTGTGCCCCAGGGGTGGGGCCAGCATGGCAGGCCCGGGGATTGAACTCCTGGTCCTTGCATCTGCCTAAGCAGGAGCTTTAATAAACCACTGCATACATTCAGTTTTAATGGAATGATAATTTCAAATCATACTATTATTTAGCTAGATTCTGTTGCTTTAATAACATTTTTAATCAGAAAATTTCTATAAGCCATTAAATTTCAGTCTTACAGAAAGAAAAGGATAGGTTTAGAAAGTGTAGTTATGGGGGCTGGGGAGATGGCTCAGTGGAATAAGCACTTCCTGGCAAGTGCACGGGTCTGAGTTCAATCCCCAATTCTGCAAAAAAAAAAAAAAAAAAAAGTGTAGTTATATTTGTTCCAACTTTCTAAACAACTAGTTGGCAAAAAACCTCTCAATTCATAATAAATATTAATGCGGTGCCAATAAAAAAGCTCATTCCAATAAATGCATTTTGTCTTTTGGAGTTCAGGCTGGTCTTACACATACTTTGTAGCCCATACTGGCCTCAAATTCACAGTTATCCTCCTGCCTCAGCCTCCGAAATGCTGAGATTGTGGGTGTGTGCCACCAATAAATTTTATCAGTCTGCAACTTCTGTTATGAAAAGAATTGAGATATTTTTCAACTACCTGGCTACTGTAGTAGAAAAAATTATAACTAACCATCCTCAATCTATCATCTATCACATTTTCAATCTGTTTATGAATCGTGTTTCTATCTTAATGTCTTTTTTTTTTAATTGAAATTGCCTTTCTAAAAAACTCTATCTTGTTTTGGAAACATTGTAATTGACTTGATAAAATGAGCTAAACTTCTTTGCTTATTTTTCTATTTTCTGAAATGATGTTCCATATTTTTAAAAAGGTAGGGTGATATTCCCTGTTCATTGAATTATTGAATATCATCTCTACAGAAATATCTAAATATAGTGTCTATTTATAGTTGCCATTGATAAATTCAGTTTCTGTAATGTAAATTGCTGGGTTATTTCTTGTGCCAATATTGGTATTTCTACATTGGCACAAAAAACTACCAAAATTTCATCAAATCTTTTAAACCTTTTAGCATAAAATTATTCAAAATAGCCACATAATTTTAACCTGTGTTAAATCGGTAAATATTTACCCTTTTTGATATTTAATTTGAATCTCTCTTTTCTTTCTTAAAGTTTATATTGATATTTTCAAAATTTGTGACATTAGTACTCCTTTCTGCTCTCAATTTCAGTTATTTCTACATTTAAATTAATTTATCTCCTTTTTATTTCTTTAGCTCTGTACCATTGTTTTTGTCTAGCGAAACTTTGGATTCATGTTAAGATTTGCTACTGAGAAAGTATATGTTTTAAGAATAATTACAGAGAAAAAAAAGAGTTTTAAATGTGTCCTTATTTATTTTTTATTTTTGTATTTTTTGGCAGAACCAGGGATTGAACTCAGGCCCTTGTGCTTGCCAGGAAAGCACTTATTCTATTGAGCCATTAGGGCCAGGGATATAGCTCAGCAGCACAGCACCTGCTTGCCAAACGTGAGGTCATGAGTTCAATTCCCAGTACCAAAAAATAAAAAGTATACATAAGTTTAAATAAGTAAGTGAAAGGCAATTACTCTCTTTTTCTGAATATTAAATAGATAATATTCTATCCTATATATATAGTGTTTTAAGTAATAAAGATTCATTGAATGCCAATCAAGGAAAATCTGGAAGACACTTTAAAAAACAAAAGGCTGGACTGACTATATTTGCTAAAATTGACAACATATAAGTAGTTCTACATCTAATGTACTTTTTGGAACATATTTAAGTTTTGTAATATTAATATCATTTCATTGCAAAGAAAATATTTTAATGTCCCAATATCACTACAAATAATGATGTTGCTCTAAGGTCAATATAGCATATTTGATTATTATAACCTGGTAGATTACTAAAAGAGAAAATTATAAGAAAAAAGTACAAATAAAATAAAAATAAATTAATTTCTAGTTTATCTTGATATGTTTGTAAAATAATCACAACTTTTTCCTTTTAAAAATTTAGTTTTCTCTGCTCCATCTGATCTATAAACATATGACAGTCTCAGTATGCTAGTGCATAAATGAATAGATCAACCAAGAAGTGTTGTGGACATGATAGAGAATCAAAACACTACAAATTTTAGCCATGATCTTAGTCATAATACTCTATATTGTTGCACGTTTTAACAAGCAAGTAAAGAAGAAATCTATAACTCTGCCTTGAAGATATGCTGCTTTATTTAAATCAAATTCTGGTTTATATTTGTAAAGAAGAGTTTCTGAGAAACTTCCATTTATGACAAGTGTCTTGGATTCCCTAGAAACTGCTTTTCTTTCTTATGAAGCAACTGCTTTCCTTAGCAATGTCTCTAGAACTAGAAATTATGTTAAAGTGTTTTACAAACATTACAGAAAAAGCAATAGTTTATTTTGTGACTGTGATCTCAAATGTACTATCAGTGTCACTTAAATTTGTATTTATCTTTTTTCATATACTTACCATCCCCTATCATTTTCTGTTCCATAGAAAAAATTATGACATCAACATCCAAAGGCATCCTCCGGCCATTTTTAATTGTCTGCATCATCCTGGGCTGCTTCATGGCGTGTCTGCTTATTTACATCAAGCCCACCAGTAGCTGGATCTTCAGCCCAATGGAATCTGCCAACTCAGTGCTGAAAATGAAACATTTCTTCTCCTCCAAAACTGATTATTTTAATGAAACTACTATTTTGGTGTGGGTGTGGCCATTTGGGCAAACCTTTGACCTCACATCCTGCCAACCAATGTTCAATATTCAAGGATGTCATCTCACGACAGATCGTTCACTGTACAACAGATCACATGCAGTCTTGATACATCACCGTGACATCAGTTGGGATCTGACTAATTTACCTCAGCAAGCTAGGCCACCCTTCCAGAAGTGGATTTGGATGAATCTGGAATCACCAACTCACACCCCGCAAAAGAGTGGTATTGAGCACCTCTTCAACCTGACTCTAACTTACCGCCGTGACTCAGATATCCAAGTGCCTTATGGCTTCTTGACAGTAAGCACAAACCCATTCGTGTTCGAAGTGCCAAGCAAAGAGAAGTTGGTGTGCTGGGTTGTAAGTAACTGGAACCCCGAGCATGCCAGGGTCAAGTATTACAATGAGCTAAGCAAAAGTATTGAAATCCATACCTATGGTCAAGCATTTGGAGAATATGTGAATGATAAGAACTTGATTCCTACCATATCTACTTGTAAATTTTATCTCTCTTTTGAAAACTCGATTCACAAAGATTACATAACAGAAAAGCTCTACAATGCTTTCTTGGCTGGATCTGTGCCTGTTGTTCTGGGACCATCCAGGGAAAACTATGAGAATTATATTCCAGCAGATTCTTTCATTCATGTGGAAGATTATAACTCTCCCAGTGAGCTAGCAAAGTACTTAAAGGAAGTTGACAAAAATAATAAGTTGTACCTTAGCTACTTTAACTGGAGGAAGGATTTTACTGTAAATCTTCCACGATTTTGGGAATCACATGCATGCTTGGCTTGTGATCATGTAAAAAGGCATCAAGAATATAAGTCTGTTGGTAATTTAGAGAAATGGTTTTGGAATTAACTGTTTCCATCATTTGCACATTTAGTAAAACATTATGATGAGATATCATCCAGATATCGAGGATAAGAAGAGAAACAATATTCTGATTTTGTGTTACAATTTATTTTTATCACCTCATTGGTAATGTGTATATTTTGATGGAGATGGAGATTTTTAAGAGCTCACAATTACCAATCATTCCATTTGGTTTTGAATTATTTTGTATATACCTAATTATATACACTGAAAAATAATTTATTCTTCATTATCATTTATAAACATTCTTGTTCACATTTTTATACTTGTATGTAAGTTGACTTTCTGTTGTTTTTACACTGATCAACTCTTCAATATATTTGGAAAATGAAGATGCACAGCTCATGTCTAAAAGTCTAAAAGATTTTTGGTAAATATTACAATCTATAATTCCAAATTTGCTTAATGTTAACAAAGGAAAAATGTACCCTGATTGCATTCTGACCTATGTGACTTCAGAATTGAATCCTATATAACTATTTTATCTGTTTTATACCTGTTAACCACATTGATGAAGGTAAAATTATTCATGCAATGAGTAAGATATGAAGCAGAACTGTCCTATTCCAGAAGTTATTGTGCTATTTTCTTTAAGCTGACTTGCAAAAGCAGCCAGTTATTCTTGGGTCTAATGAATACTTAAGAATTCTTGCATATCCAATTCGTTGTGTTTTTTTAGTACCAGCGAAATAATACTAATAAACCTTGAAAAAATGTAGGGTAATTCTCAGTCTTAATGATATTCATTATGATAATAAATGATTTCCTCAAATACCAATGAAAAGGATAACTATAGGTACAAATTATATATCTCAATGGTACTATTTATATATAATTCCTAATTACTTATCAATTGAAAATATTTCTGAGGACCTAATATTTCAAGCAGTTTACTTTTGTCGTATAGACAAATAAATATGCATGACACTTGAAAAATCCATCCTATCATTAAAAAGTAAAAAAAAATTGTCAATGTTATATTAAATATAATGAAGTGGTGATCTATAGGAAACAAATAATGATAGGATTCAAAGAATAATTTTTGAATGAATAACATTTAAAGTCATGGGAAATTTTTAGTTTGTTTCAATGAAGTAACAGTTGTAGCTGAGAGATACTAATTGGAGATGATGTTTCAATATTGCATTTTAGTAATTATCCATACATGACACATATAGCTTGGGTCTTCAGAGCTTTATAGAGCCAACATAGCCTAACATAGCATGAAATTTTTGGAGAATTTTCATCTACCTGCAAAAATTCTTGTCCATAAGGTTAGAGAAGGGGAAATCTGGATACAAGCAAAAATAATGAGAAAAGCCAGGTGATAAAAGATTTTTCAAGGGAAGCATCTTCAAAAAGGACTCCTTAATGTCTTTTTTTTTTTTTTTTTGCAGAGCCTGGGATTGAACTCAGGCCCTTGCACTTGCCAGGGAAGTGCTTCTTCTACTGAGCCATCTCCCCGGCTCCTAATGCCTTTATTCTGTTCTTGCCAAAACCCGCAAAATTTATTAGAATATTTTGATGACATCCACTTGGCTCTAGTTTTTACTTATTTTAATAATCCTATTAATATATATTGACATCAGTTGAACTGAGAAACAATCTTCTACACCTGATAAAAATAGAGATAAATTTCATTCAGGAAGAAGGAAGTATCTCCAACAATTAAGACTGCCTCATGAAAGAATGAATTTTCCTAGCACTGGAAGGATTTGAACAAAAGAAAATTCCTGAATTGAATAGAGGATTGTTTGTTTTCCAGGTTTATCTCCTTGGCTGTAATTATCCAAGTAGGCTGTGTCTGCTAGCACAGAGGAGTTTAGAAGCAGCAGAAAGACACAAGGAAGCTCCTCTCCATTCAGTCTAATCTATTGCTTATATACATACTACTCACCATCAAGTTTGAGTCACTGTTCATTTAATGAAGAAAAATGTAGCAAATTTCCCCAGTTGATTAGCTCCGTGACATGCTTCCGAGCTGCAAACATCACCTACTCATTTGATGCATCATAGTTTAACTCTGTATTACCTCTTCTCCCAACACTTTCCTTTGTCCATGAAGGAACAATATGTCTTCATGGATGCCCTCCTAGATGCATGAAGATCTCATTCACACTTGTTATAATACTTAAATTCATAATTTATATTTATTTGTAATTTTTTATCTGAAAAACTTTGAATCTAAATAATATGCATTGCTAATAAATTTAGAAGGTACTTCCTTTTTCTAAAAGCTGAAAAACATTCTGCCCTGCTTTTACTAGAATGGACAATGATCATTTCAAATTAGCAAGACATAAGGGAAAGTACTTCTATTATTAACTATGAATTGGAGCTCTTTCTTGGATTGAAATTATAATTATAAGCTGCTACTATGACCCATGCCAGGGGTATAAAGGTACAACAGGTACACGTCTATGTTGAAACTCATTACCTATCCAAGAATAATAAATTGTCAAATTTCAAATGCCATACCAGTGTGTCAACTGAATCATTCAGTTCTAGCTCTGCTGATCCTGAGTTTTGGGCTAGAAGGAATCATAGAAATTTTATACACCAATTTTTCCTAATGAGTTAACTAGTTCTAGAGATGATATTTATTTAAGACATCTAGTCACTTATGTAGATAGACATCTGAATATAGTTGATAGTAGTTAAGATTAGAATGTAAGGATCCTATCTGCCTATCATTTCTGCCTCATCATAAAAGTATTTTTGAATTTCTATAAATGTGAATGTTTTACTGGCATTATATAGGATCTTTAAGGTGGTAAATTCTATAGAAGAACTTCAAATTTGAAGATGTTCAATAAATAATACAATTTGTTAACATTTCTACTAGTCTAAAGATTGTAAGAGTTGAGCTTTTTCAGAAGAAAATGAGCTTTCCCTGGATTTATGTGAAATGAAACCATGAAGTACACAGTTCTCTATCACTCCGTTAATAATTCCTGTAGATTACAAATCTTTGTGAGAATCTCTCATGCAAAATATATATTAATTCAACAAAACTGGCTTGCTGTTGATTATAAAAAAAGAGTAATTTTTCCTATAAATAAATTTTGGAAATAAAAGGAAAGTAGATCACTTAAAATACGTTGTTTCAAAATATCAAAAGGGCTGGGGAGATGGTGCAGCCATTTAAGCACCTGCCTGGCAAGCACAACAACCTGAATTTGATCCCCATTACCGCACTGCCGTACCAGCCCTGAAACTCCAGGCTCTCTGTGCTGGCTCTGAAACCACGCATGGTGTCTCATACCTATAATCCCAGTGCTGGAGAGGCTGAGACAAGAGGATAACTACCAGTCTAAACTGCGTAGCGAGACCCTGTATCAAATTTTTCAGAAATCAAGAAAGTATTCTGATTGCAATATTTAAATACTAATTAGGGCAGGCCTTAATAGAAATGCCTACTAATTATTATAGGCCTTACTAATAAGAGTACATGTGGAATTATCACAATATAGCAGTATTACTCTCTTGCAAAGAAAGACTATCACAGTCACACATTTTATGACACCATAAATTTGATAATGTGGGGTAGAAACTTTAAAACTTATCTTAGTGAGAAGCAGAATCAGCTTTTTGCATGTACTAGAAATCATTCTCAGGACTTCGTTCTTTCCAGGCAGTCACCATGCAGCGGAGCTGTAACTCTGGCCCCCAATATCAGCTTCAATTTTTCATGTTTACTATAGAACTCCTTTGAACTCCTGACAGTTTTCATGTTTACTATGAAATTCTTTACTCCTCAAGAGAGTTAAAAAAAAATGTGGGCTCTTAGAAATCTTAGCATATTTGAAATGTAAACTGAGAAAATATTTTTAAATTACTTGCTAAAGCTTGGAATTCTTACCTCCAATTGGAACTTTAACAGGAAAAATGGGGCCGCTGCTATTTTTTTCTGCTTTCAGAGTGGTTTCCGTAAGTCTTGGAATAATCACCCAGAAATTATTTTTGTATATGATAATATTTCTTTAAAAATCTTCAGGGCTTTACATAATTGTGTTCTATCTTATGTTTGAGTTCTTGAACTCTGATATGATTTGAGGAAACTTCTTAAATTATAACCAAGATGTTAAGTACAACAGACTTCAGAATCCAGAGGACATGCACAGTGTCTCATGCAGGAGATCTCAGAAACACTCGTTGAATAAACGCATGAATATTGTTAGTAGTTAGGTAACAATGTAGTGACTGTATCAGCTGCAGGGTACTAACTGAAACTATATTTTACATTTATTTTATTGATCAATCTCTCCCTGGCAGATGAAAGCCATTTTAAGCTTTTCTTTTTCCTACTCCATTTGAAGAGAAATAACATTGCAAGAAATATTAAATAGGATTTTAAAAATTTTAACACTATATTTAAATATTAATAAGTTTCTAATAGCAATAAAAAGCAGTATTTAAGGAGAATATAAACTGCAAGCACTATAAATGGCAGATATTTACCAAACTCTGCATAGAGATAAATTAGTTTATTTCTTCTCTAACTCCCTAACTTCATGCTATTGTGTTGCAAACAGCAATGAAAATGGTTTTGTTTTTCTGAATGTGTAACATACAGACATTTGTGTAGAATTTTCCAAGTGGATAAACTCCACTACTATCCAAACTATTCTCCCTCTCAGTAATCCATATTATATTATCTATACTCCTAAGTGTTTTATAAAAAGTTTATACAACCTAGAGAGATATAACCTAAAAGAATGAAGAATGCCACTCTTGAGTTAGTCTAGGTCAACAAACTGTGACCGTGGTAAAGCCTTTTTATAGTAAGTCTCCTTCTAGCTAACTCTATTGCTCTTTGATTAATAAATGGATGTGTTAGAAAATGAAATTTCAATAGCCATCCCAAAATAATTTTCGGAAGTAAATATTCCAAAGAGATTGTCCTCTTATTTTTCTATATAGACATTTAAAGCATAAAGCTGATTATTCAAATTAATATATGAAATGAACATAATCTTTGTTCCTTATTGGAGCATAAACTACAGCAAGTGCTCAATTAACTAATAATCCTCTGTGTACTTCTTCTTCCCCTTAACTGTCTACTGATGTCTTTTGTAACTCGTTACTCACTGAAAACATTGATTGCAGAAAAACAATCATATATCAGGCGTTGTTTTAAAGCAGTTTGGGCTTTTTGTCCAAATTCTTATCACAGTGTTCTACAAATATTTATTGAATCAGAAATTCAGTAGAAGTACTTGAAGCAATTTTCAGTGACAATAAATAGTAATAATTTGAGTAAATCGATTGAATGAATCCAGAAAGGTTTTTTGGGTTTTTGTTTTGTTTTGTTTCGTTTTGTTTTGTTTGTATTTTGGGGGTTTTTCTTTTTTCTTTTTTTGTGGGGACAAGGGTTCTCAGGGTGTTCAGAGTCTCACTACTAGATTGGAT